TTGCGTTCCAGAGCCCAGATGTCGCATGCGACGTCGCACTTGGCACAATGCGCATGACAAGTGACAAACCCAATACGACCACCCACTCCATGTCATCACAATAGCTACTGGAGTGGAACGAATTCGCTTTTCACGGAATCTTGCAATCGAATGTATATGGTAGTGTTGAAACTCTCAGATGCGAACCACAGAATATAATGTTATGGTAGAGCAGCTGTGTACAATAACATGACTGAAGGAAGACAGTTAACGGATTCTCTTTGCCGCATATTGTTCGTGTAACGATGCTTGACGCTGCTTGCACCACCAGTAGATCTCAGACAGTGAAAGGACTTTTCCAGGAGCACAGGCCCACCCCATGAGCCCAAATGCGGTACGTTGACGGGAGTGACTGGGATTGGAAGCAAAAAGCGCGGGGCACTGCGGCGCTGGAATGATTTCGGCGGACACAGCCTGCAAAGCCGAGCACGGGATCTTAGCGCGAGCACGATCACCCCAGGCCCGAACTATGCACAGGACTCTGGTGGGAGGGCGATTGGACAGATGCAGCTGAGTGGAAACATGGATTCTGTGTCCCCGCATAACACGGCTGCAGCGGCAGGGTGGAAAGATTTCGACTTCAGTCGACCGTGTGCACAGGAGCGCCGGAATCGCCGGGTGGCCATGCACGATTTTTCGAGGAAAAAAATATATCAATGCCATTCTGCTATGGACGCCAGGCTCCCCACCGTGTCATTAGTGTCATCACTGTGCATCACTGTATCTGCGGGCATGTGCATGGAGCCAAACTAGGCACACGCCTTATTTCAAGCGAATTGAACAACAACGTGGGCGAGGCTGCACGGTATGCGAGCCCAGTTTCGTGGTGTTTGTTTGTCTTTAGCTGTAGCTTTGTTTTTGCTACGCTCACGCTGAATTCTCTTGTTGTTCCCAAATTAATTTCAATTTTTCTGTCGAGATGTTCCAATAAGTGCATTGCAAGCAGTGTTGAAGCACGACGTTCTCTCCAGTTCCTAGTCTCGGGTTGCTTACAAGCAGATTCTTGGAGGCGATTGATAGGCTAACGACCATATTAGCAAGTGCAAAGCATTGCAATTTCCGAGCACACAGGGTTCGGTAAATTTTAGCTGAGCATGATCGTGCGCCATCCATCAGTGAAATGGCTGCCATGCGCCAAAGAACACAACGCCCGTGCCAGAGATGTTCACATCTGGGTGCTTCTGCGCTGTGTCAGAACACTTTCTTGGGCGTGTCTTTGTCAGGTCATTCCGCAGTCCAGCGGACGGCTCTACCTAGGCCAGGCAATGGTGCATCTATCAATGCCACAGCATGGGTTATCTTGGAGTCCCATGCATATTGCATCTTTAGGCAGCAGTGTGTTAGCGTGACCTGTGCCGGAAAATCTCTGGCCCAGTTGAGGAATAGGACACGGCCATGGCCAAAGCATAGGGCCACCGTGCGCGCGGCGCATGGCTTTGAGCCATGCCAGTCAAACGTGCCACGACATGCACGCTGACGGTTCCAACACCAGAGACAAGGCCTGCTAGCAGGGGAAGCACATCTTCGCGAACCCCGTCCCGAACACCCTCGCGCACCGGACTGTCTGTGCGAGAGTTGCTCCACAGCCAGTCCACGTTGATGGAATCCACATCAAGTCCGCGGAGCTCGCCGAAACCAACATCACCCAAAGAGAGCACGGGCCGCACCTCTCCGCTGTCTGCACTCGCCCCACAAGCACTCTCCCTGCCTCAGCTTCGCCCGGTGAGATCGCAGCACCGTCATCGCACCTGGGCTGGCCCCGCACCTCCTTGCGACGGCTTTGGTATGGGCGAACGAGAGGGCGGCGGTGAAGAGGCTGGAACGGCCGTGCTACCAAAGGCTTCAAACACAAAGGTGGAGGTCGGCGCCGCAATGAGCATTCCCCGCGAACCCCGGACAAACGCTATTGACCGGCAGTGGGAGGCAGATGCAGCGTTTCGGCCAACTCCTCAGGCGCAGCTCATAAGCTTGCTTTCTCCCAAGAGGGAGGAGAAGAGGTCCAAGGAGAAGCCCCATGGGATCGAGAAGTCCGAGGCCGAGAACGAGCCCGCCAGCCCCACGAGCCCCATGAGCCCCGCCAGCCCCACGAGCCCGGGATCCTCCAAAAGCCTCGGCTTCAGCAGGACTTGGGGCGGAGCTGTCGGAGGCCGGGGCTTCAGCAAGCGACTGGGAGTGCCCTCGCAACCTCCCTCCCGAAGGCCTTCCTCGGACCCTTCGGAACCTCTGAAGAAGATCCGCAGCTTGGAAGAAGGCGAGAAGATCTTCGACCTCTACTACTGGGAGAAAGTCCTTCAGCAAGAAGGAGATGGCGGGAAGGTGGTGGTGTGCCGACCTAAGGACCAAGCAGATGAGGAGTTTAACTTCGTGATGAAGATCAAAAGCAAGGAATCGCTTCGCGAAGACTTGCATGAGGAAGAGTTTGTGCGGGCACAAACACGGCTCTTGAATTTTCCGCCCCATCCGGGTGTCATACGTTTGAGGGAGATCTTAGAAGACGAGACATTTTACTACGTCGTCATGGACCGGGCTTCTGGTGGCCCCTTCTTCGAATGCTTGCTCCAGGACCTGCAGGGGCGGGGGGGGGGGGGGGGGCGGGGGGGTAGGCAGCCTGCTTAATTGGAAGCTTAATTGGCTTTAATGGAAGCCGACTTTGCCAGGAGTACAAAGATGGACACATGCCGCCCCAGGCAGTCTCCAGCGTGGCTAGGGACATCTTGGCCACACTTTGCCACCTGCACAAGCAGGGCATTCTCCACAGGGACATCAAGCCCGACAATTTGGTGATGCATCTGCAGGACGACCCTTCAACGGGAAGGAAGTTGCAGAAGGTTGCACTCATCGATTTTGACCATGCAGATGCAGCATTCAGTCCCCAAGCTTCGAGAAGTCTGGCAACGAGGCACTGCTATGGCACCGCACGGTTCAATGCTCCGGAGGCTTTCTTAGGCATGTATTCCGCGCACACTGACTTGTACAGTGTCGGTGTCATAGTATATTTGTTGCTGACGGGAGAGATGCCATACCCCTCTGACTTCTTCGACTTTCCAGATCACAGCCCCAAGTCGCCAGCGGCGAACAGGCGCTGGATGGAGAACGTCGTGATGCAAATGCAAAGCCACCCGGTGGACTGGAGCCACATGACCTTCACAGAGATCCCGCAGAGCAAAGACTTCTGCCAGAGATTGCTTGCCTTCGATCCGGCCGATCGTTTTGGCTCCGCGAATGAGGCGCTCGCGCATCCTTGGCTGAGTAAGTCTGAGTCCGACTCGGAGGGGTGATCGACGAACTTTGCACCTGAAAACCTCAGCTCTTATGCTTAGCTTCTATACTTTCTGTGTACGGAGGAGAGAATTCTTGTTCTGTTCGTTAGACTCCCGAGCTTTGAAGGAGTGACGGGAGATCGGTCTGGCGCCCACTGGCAGCGTGTTTCGGTTAGGTCTAGGCTGGTTTCTATAATGTTTTCGGGCAACACACATTCCGTTCCTCTGTGCGGTGCTGTCAGGGTGGGTACCGAAGTTCCAGAGATGCATGTAGTCCAAAACAAGACGGTAACGCCGCGCCATGCAAATAGCACACATCCAAACGGAGTGTGTTGTGCTGCGTACTGTTGTTTGCCGGCTGTTAAAAATGTGCCGCATTTCTCTCTTCATGGTCTCAGGCAGCGTCGCAGTGACCTCCCGGTTGCTCCCACGCCTTGTATTTCCAGGCTCTTCGACCTCCTCCCACTCCCAGGTGGTGGCGGCCAGGGTCCCAGTCCTTAAAGAGCCGAGCAGGTCCTTAGCGCTTTGAGATGTTTCGTTGCAGGCACTGGTCTTCGGCTTTTCTTGTGGACGAGCCCTCCTGAAGCCCAGGCCCTCGAGCAGAAACGCGCGCAGCTCACGGTAGAGTCATATGCTTGTCCCGCGTCGAAGTCAGGTTGCCGCTTTGTGCCGGGAGCCCTGAGATATGTGGGTTTGGGTGGTTTTTTGCGTCTCGGAAGTCGCAGCCTTCAGGCCGTCAACGATGAGCTGCCTTCGGACGCAGAGCTCATGTGCCTTCCTCAGTGACATGTGCAGGCCCTACTGCTCTGACCAGCCATTTTTTGTGCCGTCCCGCCTTGGGCTCAAGATTATGGTGGCCGAAGGGGTCGGACTGAGATGCCGCCGAGCATACCCAGGCGACGAAATGCATGGGACTGCCGGGAACCCGGACTTGAGCCACAAGCGCAGCAGTTCGAAAGAGATGTGCAGAGGCAGAACAGTGGAATGCAGTAGGAGATACGATACTGTCGGCAACCCAGATGTTTGGAGATAAGGTCCACCATCCAAGCGGCAGGTGGTAACGATCTGCATCTGCATCGGAAATGCTGTCGCCTTTGGGATGTTCCTTTTTCCACTTTTGTATGAGCCCTTTCGACTTATCTTCGGCATTATCTTCGGCGTCTCATTCACGCTGACGGCCTTGTTTGGGATTGTCACCATGACCGTGGATCCCATGGATATCAACGTTTGGAGGTGCGAAGAGGGCCTTGCGCCAGAGCAAGATGCCATGGCCTACTGCAAGAACTGCCGGGTAAACGTGCAACTTGACTCGAAGCACTGCTGGGACTGCAACAAGTGTGTTTCAAATTATGATCATCACTGCCCATGGCTCAATACCTGCATAGGAACACGGAATTACCTCTATTTCTACATATCAATCTGGTCACTGCTCGTGATGCTCGCGGTAAGCTCCACGGCGGACATCTTGGTCATCGTTAACCATGCTGCCGCCGCCGGAGACTCCACGAACGCACTTGGCCTTGGCAATATCCTCGTTTGGCTCATAAGTATCGTACTCGCGCTGCTGAATATTCCGCTCTGCTTCTTGGACTCGACACTGGTGGTCTTTCACACATACTTGGTCGTCCTCGACATCACCACCTACGACTATCTGACGGGGAAGACCTCGCAGAAGAAAGCCCGGTGGAAAGAGAGAGAGGCACAGGCCGAAGGGAGGGACAGCGATCGAGCCCAAGGGGTCTTTGGTGCCCCTGCGGCCAATCGGCAAGGCCCCCAGCGATTCTCTGCACACGCACATGCCAGTTCCGTGGTTTTTTTTAAGAGCGACATCCCGAGCGCGAGTGATGAGGGTTTCGCCACAAAGCCGCCGCCCTGCGGGGAGGATGTCTGAGACTGCGCACGTCGCCGAATTACAATCGAGGGTCCATCGCGATGAGAAGGAACACTGCGATTGGACGAACCTGCAATGTCTCTGCGGAAAGACAGCTAAAGTCGTCCCAGGGGATCTTGTAGTGAGGCCAAACAGGCCTTACCCAAGACTGCCAGGCATCACTGGGCTGATGTGGGGCGGGTGGGGAGCTGCAGAAGTCAAGCTAACTGAGGCCACCAGACTAGACCCTGAGCATGACACAAGAAGTGGGACGTCGATCCTCTGCAAAAAACATCTGTGATCTGAAGTCCTAAGTCAAGGTCCGAGTGTGAAAGGAACACTGAATCTGCACACGGCAGTGAGGAAATCTAACTACTCTCCGGGAAGGAGGTGAAAGCGAGTCAAGAATTACGAACCTCTTCGATCCAGAGAAATTCAAGCAAAGAGCGAGAAAAGAGATGTTAACATATGGACATTTGATCCGCTCTAAGGCGTACAGAAAAGGACCAAGAGCTGGAGGACAGTTCAGTCTCCTCCTCTGCCGAGTCCTCTGATGACACGTCCTACTCCGAAGGCTGCAGAACCGCAGTAGCCGCTCCTGTGCCAAAGCTTTCTTGGGTTTCGTTGAGACCTGTTGCCCTGAATCCGAAGGTTTCTTTAGAACAACACTAATCAAACCGAAACTGCGGGAGCTGTTGCAGGTGGTGGGGCGGTCTTCCGCAGCTTCGTGGCACAGGAGGGTGACACGGAGGTGAAGAAAGAAGTGAGTAATTTTGTTTTCGGATCTTCCGTCACACAGGTTGAGGACCCGCAGTTGAGTCCCGCGCCGACTATTCCCGCGGAGCTATCTATGCGGGCTCATGTGGGCAGAGACAATGCGATCTGAGATCCACTGCACAGGTTTCACCCGGCTTGGCTATGCCACTCCCGGCATGTCAGCCAGAACCCAGCCCCTCTGTTTAGGGTATATAGGGTGTAGGGTTTAGGGAAGAACACATAGTCAAAACTACTTACGCATACTGTTTACTCACGGGTCCGATTGAAGTCAGCGCTGCGTACTTTAGAACTCTACAATTGCTCCCCGGACGGGGTCACTGAGCGCGGTGGCTCTTATCGCCTTGGCATCTAGCCAAATCAACGGAGCTTAGTTTTCATGTGACGACAATGCGATCCAAGGAAAATGTGGCGCCAGATTGAATATGCCACAGGGAGCATTTGTATATCCTTGCATGCCCCGGGTACGTCATTAGCATAGTAAGAGATTCGGAAGCCATCGGGAGACAAGATAGATCCTGAATAAAGTCAAAGTGGTGCTGGATGGCCGTTTTCAGTGTAGTTCCTCGAATCGACGAGCCCTCCAAGGAAGTCGCTGAATGCGCGGCTGCCTCCAGAAGTGTCCGGAGCTCAGAGCACCACAGCGCGACCGGAGCAGCTTTTGCGCGCGAATCCTCCGAGCCCTTTGCACGGCTGCACGAATCTAACACCCGATCAGTGCTCGAGTTTGTTGTTCCGGTGCATCACCCCGATCTTTCCAGTTCGCGAGTCGCTTTCCCGCCCTAAGCAACTACAGTTCAGAGGTGCACCTGCTACTGGGCTCTCGCAACAAAGTGCAATATCAAGGAAGTTATGCCTTCAATGGTTCTAGTAAATTCCTTAACAAGAGCGCGGTCCAGCTCATAGGGAGAGCCGATGTAGCCACGCCAGGCACGTACATTCCTACCCCTCCCCGAGAACGTGTTTTTTTCGGGGACGGGGTGTGGGACGTACGTATGTACTTATTACTTCTTTAAGATTGTACTGATGCTGCGCAGTGCAGCGCAGCTCATGGCAGAGTGAGGCGCCTCAACAAGGAGCGTGCGCTGAGGGCAGAGGCATGGGGCTCAGCTTGGATCCTGCGTCCGTCTCATGCTCTCAACCCTTCTTTGAAGAGCTCTCTTTCTCTCTCCCCTCTCTCGCTGCTATCTCATTAATATTTGCATACAGTTGAACATGTCGTTTCTCTGCATCCGCGTGCACGTGCAACATACACATGCGTGCGCATACGGCGTGCGGTGTATGAAGACTCAGTGAGACTTCATTGCCCTGTCATTTGCCTGAAATGTACACACATGTACACACTTGCACGACGTAGTTCTTGGCTTACGCATTTTGGGCAGAACGCTTGAACGTTGGTTGGGCCTGTCAGCCTGTCAGCTTGCCGGGCATCTCCCTCGCGCCGTCGAGACTTCACAAGATCTCCAAATCCTGTCTCCGGTGTTCTACCCAAAGTCGTCCTGTGGCTTTTTTCGTGGATGCCAGGAGACGCTGCGCAAAGCCGACGAGGCCATCAAAGCCTTGGGTTCGGCACTTAAGGGGTCGCATGCGAGGTAGCCCTTTCATGCCTTGGCTCTCGAGGCATCGACTTGACGGCTGAGACTCCAAAGGAGCGCTGCAGGGCCTCTGACCGCCTTCGGAAGCTCTCACCCCACTATATCCTTGGAGCATCAGATTCTTTCTTTTGAGCAGGCCCCTGTGCCATCCCCTCCGATGCCCGTCGCGATGCCCCCCCCCGCCCTCGGCAGGAGCGTCAGCTGCTCCCCAAGCCTGTCCGGACGCCCAGAACGCAGGAAGAGCGCAGGCAGAACGCGCAGAGAACTCTCTCCTTCTCTCTCTCTC